ACTATGCGCAGGCGCAGAACGAGTCATGGGCGCCCGCCAGTCCGCCCGGGTTGGCTCCGCCTCTCCGTGTTGTGGGCGGGGCTCGACTAGCCCAGGAGGACAGACGCGCATGCGCAATTTGGCGTCTCGCAAGCGGGACCGGAAGTTGATGTGCGCTCAGTGGATAGAGAGGTGAGGGGACTAGTGGCGCATCAGCCGAGGTTGGGCTGTTGCCTGGGATTATTTTCAACCGAATTTCATTGTGGCAAGAAATTCAGAAATGAAATAATGTGAAAGGAGGTCTAGAGCCTGAGAGAGGTGGGCGGAAATGGAGCCTGAACGTCCATGACAGACCCTAAGAAACGAGGATCAGAAAGACGCTTGGGAAACCGAGGGAGGTTGAGAAAGTCAAGAATCAGAAAATTAAACAGAATGAAGTCAACAGGCTGCGGGGAACCCTCTAGAGAGAGGCTCACAGAGGCGCCGAGGCTGAGAGAAATCTATTTGCACCAGGCATTTAGGGAGGTGGAGGGAAACTAGGGGAGCGCTGCTTAAAGGAAGGAAAGTGGAAATCCTAAATGAAAGCACGTTTGGCAAGGTTATTTATTTTCTAAAGAGCCCTGGTGGCGCAATGATTGAGTGGTAACGAGAAGGTTGGGGGCTTGGAACCCACCCAGCAGCTCGGCGGAAGAAAGACCTGGCAACCCACCTCCTCCAAGTTGTTCTTAGCTGCTGTGTGGTTGCTGCTGACCTCAGGTCCCCGTGTGTAACAGTTGGGGACACTGCTGGTCACGTACCACCATCCTCGCAATCGTTACAAGTAGCCACTGTGTCAGCTCGTTTGGTTGAGGGTCTTCCTCTTTCTTTGCAGACCCTCACTTTACCAAGCATGATGTCCTCCAGGCCCCAAAGTCCATGAAATGAAGTCTCACCATCCATTCTTGTAAAGAGTATCGTGGCTACGCTTGAAAGACAGATCTGTTTGTTCCTTTGGAGGTCCATGATATATTCAGTATTCCAGGATGACCCTGCAGACACAGAGGATTGCATAGATAGATACCCGAGTGAAGCAGTCAAAGGCTGGCAGTTTGAACGCAACCAGCAGTGCTGTGGAAGAAAGGCCTGGCAATCTGTTTTCGTTCAGATGACAGGGAAAAACCATAGGATGCACTTCTTCATAGTACCTAGGGTCACTGTGCATTGAAATGGATTCCACAGCAGTGGCTTTGATGTTAATACCATTCAGAAGTTAAACTGTGGCATTGCAGTGTAAGTTACTCCAAGTTAAATGGTCCAGATAACTTGGACAGAGACTGTTTGCTCTCCTGGTCATCTATGGAGACTTGAATACTAGTTATCATTTAGCTGCTTCCTCATCTGTTTCAATGCAGTATACATTATTTATCCCATCTTTCTCAGTCTCCCCCCAACCCCGATGTCAGTCCTGTTTTACAAGTGGCCCTGTGCAGTATTTGTCCTTTTTGTGACTGAGATATTTCACTCAGCGTAATGTCCTCCAGGGTCACCCATTTTTAATAATATTGCATGAGTGTCTTGTTTTTCAGTGTAGCATAGTATTCCTTCCATTGTGTGAATATACCAGAGCTTCACTATCCATTCGTTTGTTGATGGGCACTTAGGTTGTTTCCAACTCTTTGCCATTGTGAACAAAGCCACGGTAAACATGGGTGTGCATATATCTGCTTGGGTGTCAGTTAGGGTCTCTTGGGGTATATTCCCAGTAGTGGAATTGCTGGGTGAAATGGTATTACTAATTTGAAACTTTTTGAGAAAGCGCCACAGTACCTTCCACAGTGGTTGCACCATTTTACACTTCTACCAACAGTGAATAAGTGTTTCGGTTTCTCCACAACCTTGTTAGTATTTGTTGATTTCTATTCTGTTAAATTTTACTGTTCTTTCTGGGGTGAGATGATATCTCATAGTTGTTTTGATTTGCAACTCTCTTAGAGCTAGGGATTTTGAACATTTCTTCATGTGTTTGTTGGCCATCTGAATGTCTTCTTCAATGAAGTATCTGTTCATATCCTGTGCCCGTTTTTCAATTGGGTTGTTTACCTTTATCTTGTTGTGGTGGTACATTTAGCTTCTTTGTACCAGGCAAGCTCTTTACCATTTCAGTGGTCCAAGGTGGATAAAATGATGATGGCAAGTGTTTTGTCTTTTGGAGTGTATTATCAGCAGGACCTAGTCCCTGGAGAAAGACACCATGCTTGATAGAGTTGTTTTGATATGCCTTCAAATCTGAACCAACTCACAGCTGACCTTCCAGCAGGTTTCCAGAGGCTGTCAATCACGTTGACAGGATGTCACCCATCCTTCTTCCACTGAGATATTGATGGATTTGAACTGCTTGCCTTTGGATTGGCAGTGCCACTTCTTGCCCACGAGGCCAGACTGGTAAAGTACAAAGTAAAAGAAAGATTGACGGAGTGAGAGCAGCAGTGGACATAAGGATAGCAAGAGATTGTGAGGCTGGTGCAGGGTGGGATGGGGCTTCATCCTACAGTTCCTGGTCTCATTGTCAGCCGGAGCTCACCGGATAGCACCCAACACCAGGGTGGTGATGACTCTGTGATAGAATTCTCACCCCCCCTGCAGGACAGCCTCGTTCTATACTGACCCCTTGTACACTACAAACACCTGTCTGCCAGTGGAAGGGGGGTGTGTTGCTGTGATGCTGATGCCGTTGATGCTGAACGGGTTTCATTTAAGCATCCAGACTAAGAAACCAGGAAGAAAGGCCTGGCGCTGTGCTTTTAACAAAACCGCTGTGGATCACAACAGTCTTAATCCTGGTGATGGAGCAGGACCATGCAGTGTTTAGTTCTGTTGTGCACACGGGCGCCATGTACGAGGGGACAACTTGACAACAACCAGTAGCAGGTATAGCACAGTTAACCAGGCCTTTGTCCCTAGCCCAACCAGTGTAACTTTCCTGACATTCAGGTCACTGCAGTCATGTGGAGTCAGGGAAGGGCTGTTTTCCAAAGGAAAGAGGGGGCCGTTATCAGGAGCAGGGTATGCCAGGCAGGGAACCCACATGAGACCCCACTCCAAAGAAAGCAAACCCACTGCTCTGATCCCATCTCCTGGTGACCCTGTAGGAGAGAGCAGAACGGCCCCATAGGCTTTCCAAGGCTGCCGATTGTTATGAAAGCAGAGTGACTTCTCCTATAGGGCCTCTGGTGCGTCCGAACACACACCTTTGGTTTAGTAATTGAACACGCTAACCATTATACTACCAGAGTTCCTTATCCCTAACACCAAACCAAGAAAAAAACCAGAACTGCCTCCTGACCACATAGGACAGACTTAACTGCACCTGTAGAATTTCCAAGGCTGTAAATCGTACCTGATGGGTGGGACAGCCTCTTTCCCCTCTGGACCTGCTGCTGTGGGGTTTGAACAGCCAATCTTTTGCTTAGCTTAATGTTTACCCTATAGCTTCTATGCATAACACAGGATGTACCAAATTTTGCATTTCATTTCCAGGGATGCCCAGATATCTTGAACCCCAGTGTCTGGATTTAGAAGAATCACCTAACTTTTGTCATTCTCCCTCATCTCTGTCCTTATCCCGTATTTCTGTCATGTTACTAGAGCACTAATCTGGCCTTGACTGGTTGTGTGATTGCTTTCATTATCTCTAGAGGACAAATATCACACTTGCCCTCCGGCACACAATCAGGGTTTGCTTCTTGCACCCCTCAGCCCCCCACCCCCAGCTTCCTGGACTTCCCCATCACAGCCCATCAGCCTGGATTATTGTCACTGGTGCCATGTCTATCTCCAGTGACCATGAGCTCTGTGAAGGCTGAGGATAGTCCGTTTTACATACCAAAATCCATCCTTTTATAAAGAGCCTGGGCGGCACAGTGGATTAAGCATTGGGCTGCTAACTGAGAGGTTGGTGGTTTGAACCCACCAGCCGCCTTCAGGAAAAAGATGAAGCAGTTTGCCCGCATAAAGATTTACAGGTGTGGTATTCCCTGGTCTGGCTCTCTTGCCTCTTTCTCTGCAGGTAAGTGCAGACCAGAGAATCCTGCCTGGGAGCCCCTTAATAGAGTTTCTTTAGCTTAT